CGAGACTGAGTAGCAACAGTACGAGGAGGTGGATAATGTCGTATATATATATCACCCTGAATAAAATTTTTTCTAATGATCGTATTTTCACTTACTAAAAGTCAATATTAATGGTTCCTGGAGGTGACTTCCAATATACTTATTATTTAGTGCTAATTATTAAGTTACGAAGTCAGATTTTTATAGTTTTTTAACATTTTCCCAATAAAAAAAATTTATTTCCTACATGCAGGATCCTCCAGAATATCGAAAAACACATTAAAAAAATAATATAATTTAAAATAAGATAATAAAAAAAAAATTTTTTTTTTGAAAATTTGTCCGTCCCTGGGATTTGAACCCAGGACCCCTCCCTCCAGCAGCGAACTCGCTTATCTGGTGGCCTACCTTCCAGTCCACGGTGATACGTGAAGCCTACCACATTTTCTTTTCAAAAGCTCTCTCCTCTCATCTTCGCAATATACATTTAGGAGACCACTGTGACCACCCTAATTGGCTTATAAAAATTCTCTTCGGCAGCCATGTTTGGACCATAGACCCCTACTTAGGGTACGAGATTGAAAATTATACCTTGATATTAAAAGGAGCTAGGGGGTCTCGAAATTTGAACCTTACTCGAGCCATTTTATTTTTTTATTCTTTTTTTTTTTTTATTCCATTACGCTTTCTTTGCTGGATTTCACACACAGAAAACACCCCATGCATGCTAGAATATCCAAAATGTTACAAAAGAAGGCGAAAAAAAGCAAATAAACTGATTTTTCTGGATTTCTCCAGTTTTTTCCCGAAGAGAAAAATTTATTTCCTACATGCAGGACCCTCCAGAATATCGAAAACAACATTAAAAAATATTATAATTTAAAATAAACAAAAAAAAAATTTTTTTAAAATTTGTCCGTCCCTGGGATTTGAACCCTGGACCTCTCCCTCCAGCAGCGAACTTGCTTGTCTGGTGGCCTACCATCCAGTCAGCGGTGATACGTGAAGCCTACCACAGTTTCGCTTCAAAAGCTCTCTCCTCTCATCTTCGCAATATACCTTTAGGGGCCGACTGTGACCCCCCTAGTTGGCCTATAAAAATTTTCTTCTTCGTCCATGTTTGAACCATAGACCCCTACTTAGGGTCCGAAATTTAAAATTATACTTTGATATTAAAGGGAGCTAGGGGGCCTCGAAATTTAACCTCTCTCGCGCCATTTCATTTTTTTATTCTTTTTTTTTATTATTCCATTACGCTTTCTTTGCTGGATTTCACACACAGAAAACACCCCATGCATGCTGTAATATCCAAAATGTTACAAAAGAAGTCGAAAAAGAGCAAATAAACTGGTTCCGATGTAAAGATAGTGGGTTCAAGTTTTGAACAAAAGAGTGTAGACTATAAATACTGTTAAAATAAAACTGGTTTCAAGTTCCGATTAAGGGAAAGTGGGTTGGAGTACCGACTTAAAGATAGTGGGTTCAAGTTTCAAACAAAAGAGAGCGGATCGTAAATATTGATTAAATGATAGTGGTTTCAAGTCCCGATTAAAGGAGTTTGTGTTCGAGCATCGATGTAAAGATAGTGGATATCAAAGTAACTTGTTATTGAAGTTGAGAAGTAAAATCATATTTTGAATGACTTTATGAATGAAAATTTCTCCAGGAGCATCCAGGTGTGAATTCAGGTACAAGACCTCTAGAACATTCAGGAATGAGCATCTAGGTACATAGCCTATAAAGGTTTTTTTGGGAAATATTGATCTGAAACTAGCATTGTGAAACAGTCTGTGTTCCATTCATAAAATTATTCTAAAAACTATAAAAAAATTTACGATCTATTAAATAATTCTTAATAATAGTTGTGGTGCGTACAACCTTCATCTATGAAAAGGTGCCTCAACATGCCTCAACATGAATGGGAATTGTATTTTTGTAGCAGAATTATACCTGTGATAGAATTCTATGAACGATTACCACTAGTTGCCAAGAGAGCAGTATTAAGATCACCATACTTTTTAAGTGCTGATCATGAGAACTGTATTAAGCTCACAGTCGTTTTTGCTCCTGTTTTTCTTTTAGCAGTCGATTGTATATGTTGTGTGTGATCTTGACTAATGTTCACATCACGACCGAAGGTCATCGATGTGAGGGGAAGTATTTATCGACAATGCCAACCTTCATCTCTGAAAAGGTACCCCGACATAGAATTGAGTTAGCACGTCTTATGTACTAGTGAATTGAAATTGTATTTTTGTAGTTTTAGATAGTTTTTGCAGTACTCCCTCACCAGAATTATATCTGTGATAGAATTCGATGAACGGATATCACTAGTTGATTATTTGCTGTTTTGTGAGAAGCTGAGAAAGCTGTATTAAGATCACAGTACTCGTGGTCGAGCCTGTGTTGACTTTTAGCAATCGAGTGAATACGTTGTATGTGTGATCGAGACTGAGTAGCAACAGTACGAGGAGGTGGATAATGTCGCAGTGACAAGAAGCAAGTCAACTGTTCAACGTGGACCATCCATTGAAGTGGGCGTGTTCAAATAGAAGTGGTAGTTTCTAGCAAGGTGGGCGTGTTCATATCATGTCCGGGTCACCCATGTGGTGAGAGCTGTATAGACAATGTCAATCTTCATCTGAGAAAAGGTACCCCGACATAGAATCGAGTTAACATGTCTTATATACTAGTGAATTGGAATTGTATTTTTGTAGTGGTAGATACACTACAGTAGTATATTTTGTTATTCTTTTGAGATAAAATTTAATTTTTATTATCTTAAAGTATCGTTTATTGTTTTCCATTCTAAAAGTAGTATAGGATTATGGGAGGTATTATAAAGGTTTCATTGTATTATGGCTTTTAAATACGCAAAAGTAAATGCTTGGTTTATTTGAAAGGCCCTTAGGGTAGCCTGTATGAAAAGAGGTGGTGGAGATGCTTCGCATTAAAAGGAAACAGCCAATTGCTGGTGAGAGTCATTTCACCTAATGAGAAGAAACATCCTGGTTTGAATCCCAACGTTGACTTGTGGATATGAGTCACAACGACCACAGCAATGACGTAAAATATCCTCAGTGGTAAACGGAATGTAAATTCCCCTTGCCATCGGGTTCATCGTGGGAGGGTTTCGTAGTTTTCATCTCCATGTAACTCAGCAAAAGAGGGTTAGTTAAAGTAAAAAGTCTCAAATGAAGGGTAGTTTGTCATAAAGTTTGGACTAGAAGTTCCCTCGTCGTTCGGAATGGGTTCTAGACAACAGTAGTAAACCCAAGAATTAAGTCGGCTGTTCAATGCCGGTTATTAAAAACCTGAAATGAAATCTTGAATTGAATTTGATTATCATAGGTTTCATTCGACATTTCGTATAACTTTTTTGATTGTACGGCTATTTAAATGCATTTAACAGTCATGATCACAATTATACCAGATTTGTTTTGCAAGGAATAAATTTTGAATTCGTTCATAAACTTATTGGTTAAAAAAAAACTCCCTTTTTATTAGTTGTCAACATTAGATACAACGCTTAAATTTTACTAAAAGGGAGACATTTTTTTAAAAACCTTTTTGGAAATGAATCTTTTACCCTATTTTGCGAACATTTTTTATAATAGTATCCATAGTTTTCAATTTCAATGGCTTAAATTTTTTTATATTTTTAAGAAATGGCCGCTTACACAGGTCTAATTCCCCCACAAGAGTTTTGTTTTACGTAATATCAGCAATGAAATGAGAAATTGAGGCGTGTCTTGTTAGAGTTTTCATTGGATGATAGATTTATTTCAATTGGGGGAATCATGAGGTTTGCCCTTGATTTATCCATCAGTTCTGATATGTCTTCTCACAAGATCAATGCAAGTAAGAATTAAATTCATTGTTTTCATTCTCTCGAAAAAAGTTCTTATTTATTTCTTTTTTTTTTAATTTATAAGGATTATTAACGGGACTCGGGCCAAATAATTAGACGCATTATAAGATGCTATGCAAAATCTTAATTATCAGGTAATACTATACATCTGTGTTTTTTTCATGTGACTGAAACCGGTTTGC